AAAGACATGCACAATAGGTAAGTTGAATAAACTAAATTGGCCGTAGTGTATGAGTGTAAATGAGTGTGTATTGATGTTTTAGAGTACTGGGTTGCAGCTGGAAGGGCATCTGCTGTGTAAAACATATGCTGAATAAGTTGGCGGTTCATTCCGCTGTGGTGACTCCTGATGAATAAAGGGACTAAGCCAAAGGAAAATGAATGAATGAATAAATTCATTAAAAATGATTTTTTGGTAAAATTGAGAATTTATTAGTTTTAAAATAAAAACACGACATTAAAATAAAAAAAAAATTATGAAAATAAAATAATTTTTTGTTAAAATTATACAATTTGTAACATTTTGAAATGTGTACATTTCTTTTAATGTAAATTTGAGTCATTGATACAAGAAGTGAAATGACATTAATATTTTTAATTCAATTATTTTAAACTTAACTGTTAAATTTGTTACTTGTAATCCTATTACTAATAATAAAATACTAATAACAGATTTTATCTCCCAATAAAGTAATATTTTTACATCATGAATTCACTGAAAAAATAAACATTTATTTATAATTAACTGAGTAAAAAACTCATTTTTCTTTAATAAGTACTTCAAATAAGTTACTTTAGTTTCATTGCCATACTTTGACAGATTTTATGATTATTCTAAGGAAGTTTTTATAATACTTTTCTTATGTTTAAATTAAAATTTTGGTTAAATTTCAAGTAATTTTAATCTCAGTTTTATTATATTATATTTAAACTATTTCATAACAAAAATATATAGTTTAACTGTTTATAATACACAAAAACTTGTTTTCATATTTAATTATAGTACATAATAATTATACATTATAGACAACAGCAGTAAAACTACAAAACCAATATTTATGGTCATTGTTTTTTTTGTTTTTTTTTTCGTTTACAAACATTAAAGCTTTTGATTTGGTGTAAAACCTCAGGGAAAAGTCTGCTTTTTATTGCTGAGATTTAAAAATGTTGAAATGTCATCAAATAAAATATTAAAAACAAAATTGTTTTATATTTGAATGATCATTACTATTATTGCTGTTGTTTGTATTATTATTATTATTATTATTATTATTATTATTGCTATAATAGTAATAATAATAATTATTAAATTAATAAATTAATTAAATATTAATATATTATATTATACAATAATAGGGCGAAGCAGTGGCGCAGTAGGTGATGATGTTGCCTCACAGCAAAAAGGTCGCTGAGTCGCTTGTTCGATCCTCAGCTCAGGTGGCATTTCTGTGTGGAGTTTGCATGTTCTCTCTGCGTTCGCTGGGTTTCCTCCGGGTGCTCCGGTTTCCCCCACAGTTCAAAGACTTGCAGTACAGGTGAATTGGGTGAGTTAAATTGTCCCTAGTGTATGAGTGTGTGTGAATGAGTGTTTGTGGATGTTTCCCAGAGATGGGTTGTGGCTGGAAGGGCATCCGCTGAGTAAAAAGTGCTGAATAAGTTGGCGGTTCATTCCGCTGTGGCGACCCCAGATTAATAAAGGGACTAAGCCGACAAGAAAATAAATAAAAATGAATGGTTATAATTAATTATTATTATTTCTGCTGTTGTTGTTGTATTTTGTAATTATTGTTGTTATTATTGTTGTTGCTGTTTTTGTTATGATTATTATTACACACACAGCCTGTATGCAGTGTATACTACTTTATGCGCCATAGCTAAACACATGCAGTGAAGTATACGTCGCAAGACCCCTCTGTCCCATTCAACAGTGTAAAACACAGGTGTAGATGTGTCTGAAGGCCCACAGACGTGCAGTTAAAGACCTGCATCTAATCCAAATTTAATTCTCAATTCGGCTTAAGCTGCGCCGCTACATTTTACCTCAACGTTTATAAGTAAGCTTGTGCGTTTAAAGCGTGAAACAACAATAGAGAAAGACACACTCTGTGGGAGAAAAAAAAACAGAAACGTCTGTTTCGGAAACCTTGAAAGACTCTTCTTTATTTTTTCCCCTCTCGCTTCTCCCAGCAGTTCGCTATAAACAAGTTTGTGTTTGTGCTGAGCTGGAGCTCGACGCTCAGAGAGAGCCACAATGCCGCAGCTCAGCCGGGAACGCTCATTAATGTTATGCTAATTTTCTCGATCCAATTCATTTTCTCTCACTCTCTTGTTCTTTCATTTGCAAAAGCGAGCTGTCACTCACACTCAAATCACCAGAATAAACAAAGCCAATGCGAAAGCTGCCTAATAAATTCTGCGCGCACACACACACACACACACCGTCGCAGTCACATGTAGGGATGGGTATTGTTAAGGTTTTAACGGTATTACTAGTTTTATCTCTACCACTTATCGGTTTGGTACATTAACAGTTCTCCTATTAGTACTTTTGTAGTGTTTTTTATGAAAAAAACAAGCAAATTGAACAGAATTAACAACACTTTGCGCCCTATTTTCCGACTTTAATGCAGAGCGCAGGGCACAATAGCATTAAGGGCTATCTGAATTCACTTCTGCTATTTTAAGAATGGAAAAATCCGCTTTGCGCCGTGGCGCATGGTCTAACAGGGTTGAGCTTTTTCTTTTAATGAGGGTGTGTTTTAAGAATAAACCAATCAGAGTCTCATCTCCTATTCCCTTTAAGAGTCAGTTGTGTCGCGCCATAGCGCATTTGCTATTTACATGGCGGACTTTGTAAGTGGAAAAACTGAACACATCACAGCAAGAAATCAGTTCAACAGCGCATCTAAAGCGCGGGAATGAGAGATGAGCCTCCTCATTGTTTACTTTCACTTTTACTCTCATGGATAGAGGGCCGTGTTGTACACACAGACATCCTTTAGCCTATAAATAATTAATTTTGTTTATTAAGAGCAAAGATGTGTTTCAAAACTATTTCTAAATTCAGTTCTAATTTCCAGCAAACTAATAAATGAACAATAATAACAAAGTGTGTTCAAAAACCTGAGTTATATCCTAACACAAATGCTGTGCCCCATATGGTCTAAAACCTGACAGGTGGGCAAATCTAAGCTTGTTTTTAATAAAACAAATGTAAATGTGCATATAATAAATAATACTGCTAATAATAATAACATTATACAAAAGCAAATTAGACCTCCCCTAAGCCAGTCAATTGAACAGTGTATTTTAGTTCCACTAAATAGCAAAGCGCCAGCAATGCGCCTCAACACACCTCCTTTTTTAGACCAGAACACCTATGGGCGCACATATGAGCGCAAATGCATTTGCTATTTAAACAGCGTGCTGCAAAACGTCAAAACGACTCTTGCGCTGAGCTGAAACTACCAAACAACAACTGCGTCGCGCCTTCTGCCGCATTCGGCCTAGTGTATGATAGGGCCTTTTATGTTATTAATACGTTTTTAATGTAAAATAAAACAAAACCATAATAGTAAAACAAATATTTTTTTCCTGCAAAAGAATGTACAATGGTTCAAAGGAAAATGACTCTCAGTTTTTAACCATTCTTCTGGAGAAAAATCAACATGCTTGCATTTTCTGACAGAAGTCGGGATCTTTCTTGGTTTATTGTGCTCCCTGCAGTTGAAAATACCCTCTTTGAGTTGCAGTTAAATGAGATCATGCTTAAGATTTTTCATTAACGCATTTACACAAATGAGTTAACAGTGTTTTGGGAGTTAACAGTGTTTTGGGAGTTGCAAGATGGAGCATCTTGCAATGTTAAAATAAGCAGTTTTTGTAAATATTTTTTTTAATAAGCATAGTTTATTATTAGGCTATTCATAGGCAATATCTGTAAATACAGCTGATGTAAAAGCATTTTTTAATGTTTAAGATCTATTAAGCTACTGCAAAAACAAACTGTTTTCATTGTAACCGAATGTGTGTGTTTATGTAACTATTAATATTAGACTAATTTAGGTGATTGACTGCTGGCATAACAATGAGGATGATAAAGGTTAGTAGCTAGGCACTCCATTGAACAGAAATTGGGGGAAAAATAAACAGGGGGGGACTAATAATTCTCAGTTCAACTGTATATTGTTTCATTTTTAAATAAATATACCTGTAATGCAGGATGACAATGTAACATTATTTTAGCCGTAATTTGACTATTTTAAATGTAAAAAATTTTCAAAGCCAAACAAATAAAAAAAAAAAAACTGGGAACAAAGGTAAATATGATTTCAGTTTCATCTACATTTATGTTTTTAAAATGTTAATTAAGCTCAAAGTTGAACTTTAGTTTTCATTATCAATAATCATGTGAAAAAACCTAAAAGCTTTTAAGTCATGCTTGCTTAATGTGCAAATCTAAGTTGATAACCAACCTAATTCCGTATTTGGTAAACAGAATACCAAAATACCACAGAACTTTTATATAATGTATAAGTGCATCATGGTTTCACCAAAAGTCTTTTTATAAGGGAAATTGAAGTGAAATGAGCTATTTCTGTTGTGCTTACCCTGAGGTAGTTGAGGGTGAAGTTGGTCAGTCCCATACGGGTGATGTTTTTGGAGAGCTGCTCCAGGACTCCAGGATCTTGCGCCTGCAGGTGCACCAAAAATACATAAATAAAGAAACAAAAAATCACCTTATGACTAGAGGAGGCCATATGATGCATTGTACAGTTTTCCCTTTCCTCGTATCTGCTGGCATATACCATCTGCAAAGATACAACACTCACAGTCTCCCACAACATTGAGAACACTTCCCACAACACAGATCCACATCTGCCAAAATGTATCAATCCAAGCCCAGATATTACTTCTTTGAACCTTCACAATCAATTTTTCAAATTAAAACATAATGCGAGGCTTCAGTGAATTGTACTGCTGTTGCTTAACAGATGAAACTGGCAATTACATGGCAATTACATTGTTTGACCAATCACAGGGTTTAGCTGACCAATCAGAACACTATGGACTTTTTTTAAAAGGTGGGACTTTGTAAAAACGAGAAATCAAAAAAAGTGTTTGCGACTGGGGTGCGTTTCCTAAACAATGACGTAACTCACAGCTGAACTATCATAGTACGATGCATCATTTGGGAAAAGAAGTATGTAGTGACGAGTGTTTCCCAAAACTCATAGTTTCTCCGTTGCAGATCCATTGCTTGAACCACGTTAGTTATAACGGTAAATGCCACATACAGAGCCTGTGTTTCCTTTACAAATATTAATGAGAATATGACCTATCCTATTCTAAAACAAGTCACTTACAAAAGCTAACGCGTATTCTAATATCATATATAAATTATATGAACAAATAAATAATGAGGCTATTTATTATAAAACGAAATGTAATATTTATTATGTATTAGGAAATAAAAAAATCCTAATTCAATAATATTAATAATACTAATGATGATCATTATGATAATTATTATTATTTTATTATTATGTATTAGAAATGGAAAAAATTCTAATTTTTTAATAATATTAGAAATACTAATGATGATCATGATGATAATTATTCATGTTTTTATTATTATGTATTAGAAATGGAAAAAATATGAATTTAATAATAATATTAATAATACTAATGATGATCATGATGATAATTATTATTATTTTTATTATTATGTATTAGAAATGGAAAAAATCAGATTTATTAATAATATTAATAATACTAATGATGATCATGATGATAATTATTATTATTTTTATTATTATGTATTAGAAATGGAAAAAATATGAATTTAATAATAATATTAATAATACTAATGATGATCATGATGATAATGATTAATATTTTTATTATTATGTATTAGAAATGGAAAAAATCTGAATTTATTAATAATATTAAAAATACTAATGATGATCATGATGATAATTATTATTATTTTTATTATTATGTATTAGAAATGGAAAAAATCTGAATTTATTAATAATATTATTAATACTAATGATGATCATGATGATAATAATAATAATAATAATTATTATTATTATTATTATTACTAAGTAGAATATTGTTTATTTAGTTTTTAGAAAAGTCTACTTTTACAATTTGACACTTGTAAACCACTGCAGAAAGTTCTAACCAGCAGGCCCATGTCATATACAGTACTGATCCTTAATAAATAACCCACTATAAATTAAAAGAATTAACGTTTGTTTTTTGTTTTCACAAGCTTTGGAGACGTAACATAAATTCCGCTTTTAAATATTACGTTACAGCTTTCGGCATGAGGCTGTGTTCAAAATGACATTAATGTTTTCAACGTGAACTGCGAAGTGAGCGCAATTGTAAACATGAAGATCGCTAAAACTGAACTGTAAAAATAGTTTGAAAGCAAATTACAACTAAGGGAGATGACCTTAATATTTTTTATTTTTGATAATTCCAACTTTGAATGTTCTAAATAAATAGGGCATAGGGGGGGGGGGTAACTAGGAATAGAACACAGCCAGGAACTATGTTTCTAACTACAGCTCCAGAGCTGTAGTTGCGAGTGCTTAAATTTATGACGCAGTTTGCGAATGTTCGTAGGAGCGACGGATTTGGGAAACGGCAAATCAACAAACTATGTTTGTAACGACAGAACTTGCAACCTTAGTTGGCTAACAATGGTTTTGGGAAACGCACCCCTTATTGACAATAGATTGAAGAAGATCTTTTTATTCTCTCAGTGTTCTCTCATATCTAAGAGTGTGTGTAGCAAACATGCCGGCCTGTGGTAAAAACACTGAGGAATGTTTGTGTGTTAGATGAGGAGGACAGGAGCAACACTATTAGATGACTGATTATGTAAAATAAATTAATATGTAAAGCACTGATTATATATGTTAAATACTCATATGAAGCTATATGTGTCAGAAGCTGGAGTGAGCAACATATTATCACGGTAATGTACCATCATGATAATGTATGCAAACACTTTTCATAAGTTGCATCTATGCTCTGGTGTCAACACAGTTGCTGACATAGACCTGTGACATCTCTGGTGACCTTAACAAGCTGGCAGAGAGCCAATTATAACAGGACCACCTACAGTAAAAACTTATCTAAGTATAGTCAAAAGTTAAAACAAGTCCACATGGGGATGTGGCACAGAAACTGTATACAGATTGTGAAAAACACAGACACTATAGGAATTGTCCAGGAGAGACTTCAGAATGCTCTGTGGTCTGCTCTGCACTTTCTCTGCTTTATTATGGAGATTAAAGACTACTAAGGAGTCGGCAATTATGACAAATGGCTCCGAAGGTGAGGCTGAAAACGACAAGAGATGCACAAATAATGTACAGTATGTGACAATTACAACACAGGCTCATTTGGAAATATGGGCATCAGCCTACATTTTTGCAAAACTTAAAATACATTGCTCCTGATATGTTTGGTTACATGATTCAGATGACAAAACCACTAGCGGGCGCTGTCTACAATTTTTGAAAATCTTAAATCTGTTACTTAGGGTTTGTTTTGTTGTACGTTTCAGATACACATCCTTTGTACACATCCAGTAGAAGGCAGTGCTTGTCGTATACATACCAGCTAGCAGACCACTGACTTAAACAACCCAGGCTCATTCTGAAAACGTAGTCCCATGGACTTTTCTGGAGATGGCGAAATACGTCCTAGGAGGTTTGTATTTTTGCAGTTTTTGTATTCGCGAATCCGTGAGAGACCGCTGTGTGCTCTTTTTTTGCTTCTCAAATGTCTTTCTCGAGTGCCGTTCACACTCGCACTGTTCTCGTGTAAACCCACCTGAGGCCGCTGTCAACCGACTGAATGACTGAATGATTGACGGGCGACCGTCCAATCGACTGACCCACCCTCCTCCTTCCCTAAACCCAAACAATTTTACCGATTGACCTGCCCGTCCGCTTACTACCCTAAACCCAAGCAACGATTTTAAAAAAGCCGTCCAGAAAAAGAAAAGCTCTCGTCTGATTTTTACCACGTTTTCGGATTTTACCATCAATCTCACCCTGTTATGAACTCCTTCACTTTATTTTTTGGATTCTGTTTTTGTCTCACCTGATTTCTGGAACCGATCATCCCCGGACTACAACCTGGTCGTTGTCGTCAACTCCTCTCTGTGTCTCAAGTTCGCCAACGAACACGACAAGCTAACAGGACAAACTGGTTGCGGCGGGAAAGCCCTTTACATGAAGGTAAGCGCCAAAAGGAACGGCAGCATACTGCCCCATAGCGTTCGCTTAAAAAATTAAATGCAGCCATACATACCTCCGGCTACATAATTCGTGGATTCTAGGGACTACGTTTTCAAAATGAGCCTGTGTTAGACTAAAAACCTATACTAAACTCAACTAATAGTGTTTTTAAAAGCAAATACAAGAGAAAATGCACTGCAACCATGAAGGTTTACCTTGATTTTACATCCCTTTTATTGTTATTTTTGCAGAACCATGCTTTAGAAAGTACAACATCATACAAAGTGAGCTATCAAGCAAACTGACCACACCAGAAAAGTTGACAATATGGATATAAACAGGAGAGGTACATATATTCAGCTACAAATCATAGACTTAGTTAAGCTGTTTTGTGGTATTTATTTAATGTTTGCAATTATTTAATAATGTAATGTCCCTGTAAATATCACAACCTAGGCTCATTATTGATACGTACCCGTGTACACATTCCTGGAGATCGCGAAATACGTCCCGAGAGGTACTTTTTTTTTTGCATTTTTAGTTTTCGCGAATCCATCAGAGGCTGCTGTGTACGCTTTTTCAAAATATCAAATTTCTATCATGAGAGCCATTCAAGCCAGCTGCTCTTGCGTAAATCCACCAGAGGCCGCTGTTGATTGACTGACCAATCTCTCCACCCACCCCCTTCCATAAACCCAACCGATAGTGTTTTCAAAAGCACTGATTGACCAGCCCACTGCCTTCCCTAAACCCGACTGACAGAGTTTTTTTAAAAGCAATTCAGAAAAGAAAAGCCCTAATCGATTCTTACCAATTTTTCAGATCTTACCACATTCTCACCTTGTTATTTACTTCTTTATTTTTATTTTTTGCCATTTATTTTACTTGCTTTCTGGTCCCGTTCTTTGCCAGACTCTAAACCAATCGTCACGGTCAACTCCTCTTTGCGTCTTAATTCTACCGATGTACTTGGCTAGCTTTTGGGCAAACTGGCAAAAAAAAGCCATGCGTTAGCAGTCAGCTGTTAGCGCAAAAAACTTGAAGCCGTTAGCAGCGTCAAACCACCACATATCGTTTGTTTTAACCCCTTCAGACCTGAATTATGTTCCAAATTTCAGAAAAATGGGATGTCATGTGATGTCCATTGTAATGGACGCAGGGTCTGAAGGGGTTAAAAACAAAATGCAGCCATACCTAGCTCTGGCTACATAATTCATGCTCTCCAGAAATGTATACGGGGGTACGTTTTTACAATAAGGCTGTGCTGAAATCAGGGGTGTTATCCCCCCTCACTTTTAAAGACAGACCATTTAGAAACAGGTAATTGATAATAAAATGAACGTAAAATTTTAAATCTCATTCAGCTGTCCCCCCCACTTTTAAAATGTCTGCCAGGCCCCTGATTTAAATATCCTTAGTTTGAAAAGGAACATAAGTTGATGGCATTATACTGCCCCCTAGTGTTCATTTTACCTAGAAACTGCAGTCAAAAGCATGTCAAAGTACTTTTTTAGGACTTTACAAAAATGTAGGCTGAAGCATGCATTTCCAAAGAGCCTGTGTTAAAAAATAATGCTTATTAATCTATTCTTATACAACCAAATAACAAAAACACATTAAACGACATCAAATGGCCTTTTTAAATACAAACACATTTGATTAGTCTCTTTCTCTAAGTATTACACATATGAATATGTGAGGATGTGTCTCCATCAATGCCTGTGGTAATTGTGCCGCTGCTTGAGATGCTAGAAAAGCAATGCGATTCATCTGAATCACTGTGATTACACTGAATATGTTTCTGATACAGATCTGAGGCATTGAATCAGTCGTGTGCCGCAGCTGCTAATTAATAGCGACTGTCTAAAATGTTAAAGTGCATATGAATTACAAACTAATGCTGTTTGCATTCTGGTAAATCATTGATTCATCAAGGGAAATTGTGTTTAGCAGCATGAGTAGCGTCAGCCAATCACAGAGCTCCTGTTATTTGATTGGGCAGGAAAGCAGAAAGTATAGAGCATCTGAAATATGGATTTCTCCAATTTGCTCATATTCTCATCAGGCTTGATCAGATGAGTTTGACTGAGTTTCGGCGCAACTTTACCCATGTGTATCAGAATGAGACGATCAAACGTGCTGCAGGAACTCTTGCACGATCCCTGTCATAAAATCTTTCAAAGCTCTTTCTCGCTCATTCACTCTCTCTCTCTCTCTCTCTCTCTTTCTCTCCACCAGAATACAGAGCCCCAAAGGGCCCAATTTAAAAGCATGTGAGTTTCACAAGCTGCTGTGAACAAACTTTGGAAAACTAAACTCTCTAAATCTACAAGGGAAGAGATGAGTTAAAACTCAACTGTGATGTAAAGCTCGGTATTCTGAAAGCCTAAACAGCAAGGAGTCATTAGGAGTTCTGCTTTATAATGAGAAAACGACATGAATCCTATGATTTCAGCTCTTTATGTCCTTCAAAACTGTTCATTACACTCTATAAATGACTCATTTGACCTTTTGATTTTTACATTTTATTATGGTTAAACCGTTCATTCATTCACTCATTTTTCTTTAGTTTAGTCCCTTATTAATCAGGGCTTGCCACAGAGGAATGATCCGCTAACTAGAGTTGGGTCGATAGACGATGCCATCATCCATAGCCAGCTCAGCATCGTGATCCTTCGCCCCGCCCCTGTCGCAGCAGCAACCCGCTCGCGAAAAACACACACTCAGGCCCCTTTTACACTAACACGTCTTAGTTTTAAATTGCATTTTAGAATGAAATTGATCCACATCCACACTGGCGTTTCATCTAGCATTTCTGAATAGATTCATCCACACTATACTCCTGAAAACTCACATCACGTGACCACACACACACTCTGGCATGCGCTTGAGCAGTATATGCTCACGTCTGCGCTCAAGGCAGGCAGTATGGGGTGTTATGAGCACAAAACCCCTGAGAGCAGCGCACGTCAGACAGTTTAACAAGGATGTACTGCCGGAACACGTCTCTCTGTAGTTGTTAAACATGATATTGAGTTCATCTTCTCTATCTAACGACTCTTCGGTCTTTTGAATCTATCAGGCAACGTGTCACAGCGCCAGTACTCTGCTTCAGTCTTTCACTTTCACGCTTGTCTTTAGTAATTTTAGCGAAAACCTCAGATACTGTTGGTTGGTTGCTGTTGGTTGTGCACCTTTTTTAATCAACCAAGTTTGTCGACGCCATGATAACAACACAGATCACTCTGCCTATTCATGCCAGAGTCCCATACAAAAAGTGATTGACAGGTGGTAATTTGTGTTTAACTTATATTTTTTTATTTATGATTTGAGTTATTAAGGATAAAACAAAAACCGTACTCGTCAGGTAAATGAAACGGTAGATAAATCGTTATAAATTAATTAATTATTCATAAACAATGAATTCACCGCTGCCTACAATGACTATGTCATCGTCTATCACGACGTTTCACATTAGAAATTGTACATTGCCAAATTGGTCGACATCGCCTAATTCAACCGCCAACTTATACAGCATATGTTTAGCACAGCGGATGCCCTTCCAGCTGCAACCCAACACTGGGAAACACCCATACACTTTTACATAAACACACATACACTACGGCCAATTTAGTTTATTCATTTCCACACAGAAATGCCAACTAACCCAGCCAGGGCTCAAGCCAGTGCCCTTCTCGCTGTGTAACGAACCGCGCTAACTGGGCAAACGAAACAGGTTCTGAAACAAAAGTGTAGGTGTGAAAGCACCCTTATTCTTATGAATTGAAAGTCTGCAGCTCCCCCTTCTTATCAGCAATGGGTTTTGATTTCTTACATGCTCTTCAAATGAAAAAGATTCGGTTTGCAATAAAACAAAAGCCAGAACAGTTCCAGAAAGTCCCTTTTCTACATATTTTATGGAGAAATCTATATGTTAATTGCCCCTTTTTCCTTTCTTTTCTTTTTTGTTTGTTTTTTATTACTTTCATTTTTGTTATGTTTGTATATCTTTGTTTATATATGTGGTATTTTACCTTTTATTTATATAATGTACTTATTTAGTGTATAATTATGTTTTCCTGATAATTTCTTGTTTGGTGAATTGTATCAGTGCGTATATCTATATGTATTAATATTATGTATATTTTAATGTCTGACCTAAGATTAACCTAATTAAAAAATAAATAAATAAATATTTCAGCATATTGTTACACTGGATTAGAAGTAGAGATATTTCATTTAATTTGCACATGTATGTTTGTGGGAATAGGTAAAAATACAATGTATGAGTCAAAATGATACATTTTTCTTTCATGCCAAAAATTGACAGTGCCCCCTAGTGGATTTGTCATCTGAAACATGCAACAAAACGTACCCAGAGCAATGTATTTTAAGTTTTGCAAAAATTAACAGTTTTCCTCAGTTGTTTTACAAGTTTTATTTCATTTACAAGTTTAGTTCGATTAGACTGACATGACATAAGCTAATGATAATGTTATAAATAGCAGAGAGTTGTATGAAAGCAATTCATGCACATCCAAAAGCATTTACAATTTGTTGGAAGGAATGAGAAACTGCTACTAGGATGTGCTCAAATTACTAATTGTTTTAAGAAATGCATGAACTGTTGTGCAAATGTAAATATTGTTGACAGAAATTCACCAAAGCCAGAGAAAAACTGTAATATTAGAATATTATAACAAAGATCATGTTAAATTTCTTGACTTTCAAATAGTTTAATTATCTCCACCAGATATTGTCCTGTCCTAACAAAAGCATACTGTATATTAATTTAGCCTTCAGGTAATTAATACATCTCAATTTACAAAATGTATACTTATGTTTTGTGTCACATATTTCAAATATATTCTAAACATTACTAAATGCTTTTAAACTAACATTTAATGGATTATTGAGCATTAAATCAACATGTTTAAATGAATCCTGAAAGATCACATGACAATACAGACAGAAGAAATGATGGAAACAAATCCCATTTAAAAACATACTCCAATAGAAAACAAGGCTTTTAAATAGTAACTATCTTTTTGTGTGTGTGAGTGTGTGTGTGTGTGTGTGTTTGATCAAATATATGCTGCCACGGTGAGCAAAAGAAACCAAAAATCTTCACACTGTTGAATATTTATAGCCAAATCCTCTGAGCGCTGGGACGGAGAGATAAATCAAACTCACGTGCATGGCGAGAATGCTCCGCGGGATTAGTTCCCGATACTGTCTGATGTTGAAGTGCCACGTCTTGATCCTCATCAGATCGTCAAAGGCAAACTCTAGAATCAGCCGGCCCTCCGTACACACCTGAGAAAGCAGACATTCAGAGATCGGTCATGTTTTCTATGAAGAATACAGTCTGCTGATTATTCTCTGTACTATTTGTCATGGAAAAGTAACTCTTGTGCAACATTATGAAGATATTTTGTTTTTTGGTTGAACTTTTTTGGGATAATTCTGGCTGTAAGGTAAACAGCACATGCAGTTGAAGTCAGAATTATTAGCCCCCTTTAATTTTTTTTCTTTTTTTTAAATATTTCCCAAATGATGTTTAACAGAGCAAGGAAATTTTCACAAATATGTTTTTTCTTCTGGAGAAAATAAATCAGATATTAGAGATGAGTTATTAAAACTATTACATTTAGAAATGTGATGAAAAAATCTTCTTTCCCTTAAACAGAAATTGGGGAAAAAATAAACAGGGGGGCTAATAATTCAGGCTTCAACTGTATTTGGGTGTATCGCCCACATTTACTTCATTTATCTATCCTTCATGTTCTTCCCGTGCTGATGTGGGTTTCCTCCGAGTGCTCCAGTTTCAATCCAAAGACATGTGCTATAGGTGAATTAAATTAACTAAATTGATCGTATGAGTGTGTGTGTGTGTGTTAATAAGTGTGTATGGGTGTTTCCCAGCATTGGGTTGCTGCTGGAAAGGCATCTACTGCATAAAACTTATGCTGAAATATACTCCAAAATAGAGACTAAGCCGAACGAAAATTAATCAAAAAAATTATTCAAATATGATTCCTTGAATTTACTAAAATTTTTTGAGTTAAGTGGTTGTAAACAATAAGTTTGGGCTGGATTTAAACAAACAAATTAAGTTAAACATTACTAAATTTAATTTGTTTGCTTAAATCCAGCCCAAACTAATTGTTTTCATATAAAGAAATAAATAAACAAGCAAACAAATAAATAAAAAACAATAAATAAATAAAATAAATAAACAAATCAATCAATCGATAAAAAAATTAATTAAAAACTACCAAAAAATCAGGACGACAATACGGATTTTTAGGTGTAAACAATGTGATGATAGCTTTTCTCACATAAAACAGTAAAATACAGAGAAAATCACTACAAAATACAGTGCCTTTTTTTTTTTTTGTTTTATAATGCATTTTGCATAAAATTAAGTAATTATTTATGCCCCCCCCCCCCACAAAAATACAACAGAACGTCAGTGTAGACTTTAGTGTGTAATATATATATATATATATATATATATATATATATATATATATATATATAGATGTTAGAGAAAAAAATTATTTAAATTAATTAAAATTAGTGTATCAGTCCTGATTATGTATTAGTGTGTGTGTGTGTGTGTGTGTGTATATAATAATATATATATATATTTCTCTTCTTCTCTTTTTATTATGTTTTTTATTTTTTATTTTAAAACCATTTTATGTAGTTATAATCAGGACTGATACACTTTGGGAAATCTAGTGAAAGTTTAAATTTTTTCTGACATCTATTTTTTTGGATGAACAGGATTAATAAAAACTCATACAGTTCCAGAATGCATCATCAAAATGCACTAATACAGTCAATTCATGTAAGCTGTGCTTTTTAAATCCAGACCACAGAGTTTTGAAGCCATTTCCTAATAAAGGTGTTGATGTTATATACACCTGAACCTCAGGGCAACAAATGGAAATTCCTTAGACGAGCTTCCACAAAGCAACAAAACACAGAATACATGCAGAGGTCATCAACCGTCCGCAATTACAAAACAACAACAACAACAACAACAAACAGGATGAGAAAAACATTTTGCTGAATTTAGAGCTGTGCTGCTCGAAGCCCCTATGTTCTGTTGCTGGGGCAACCTGAGGATGAGGAGGAGGAAGGGGGGGAGGAGCGTCAGCTGATTAGTTGGCATGGCAACGGCAAAGATGTAATCCCGCCAGAGCCACTCTAATCAATGCCCTCAGCACAGATGGGCTCTGGAGGATCAACAAGAGGAGAGCACAGCGCCATCACATGACCACACGCTTTCACATTCCCCCGCTCGCTCTCTCACACACACACACACACACACACACACACACACACACACACACACACACACACACACACACACACACACACACACACACACACACACACACACACACACACACACACACACACACACACACACACACACACACACACACACACACACACACACACACACACACACACACACACACACACACTTCTGCTGTTTGTCTCCTTATTTCTGTCTCTCGTCTGTCTTTGAGTCCTGTGTTCAGCAACAACACTGTTACATGCTGAGGAAGGCGCCAAAGTGAAAATACAAGCGTCTGTCTTTCAGCATCCCTCTATCGCTACATATTTCTGCTTCAGGATGTGTTTGAAAATTCTTCATTCATTTTCCTTCAGCTTAGTCTCTTTATTTATCAGGGGTCGCCACAGTGGAATGAACCACCAACTCATCCAGCATGTTTTTTTACACAGCAGATGCCTTTCAGCTGCAACCTAGTACTGGGAAACACCCATGCACACTCATACAGTGCATCCGGAAAGTATTCACAGCGCTTCACTTTTTCCACTATTATTAATGATACAGCTTTATTCCAAAATGAATTAAATTAATGTTTTTCCTCAAAATTCCACACACAATACCCCATAATGACAATGTGAAAAAAGAGTTTTTGAAATTGTTGCAAATTTATTAAAAATAAAAAAACCTGAAAAATCACATGCGCAAAAGTATTTACAGCTATTACAGTGAAGCTCTAAATTGAGCTCAGGTACATTCTGCTTCCACTGATCGCTCTTAAGATGTTTCAGCAGCTTCATTGGAGTTCACCTGTGGTCAATTCATTTGATCGGACATGATTTGAAAAGGCATACACCTGTCTATAGAAGGCCCCAGGGTTGACACAAACCAAGCATGAAGACAAAGGAATTGTCTGTAGACCTCAGAGACAGGATTGTCTCGAGGCACAAGGCTGGGGAAGGTTACAGAAAAATTTCTGCTGTCTGAAAGTTTCAATGAGCACAGCGGCCGCCATCATCCGTAAGTGGAAGATGTTTAACCACCAGGACTCTACCTGAGTGATCGGGGGAGAAGAGTCTTAGTCAGGGAGGTGATCAATAACCCGATGGTCACTCTGACTGAGCTCCAGCTTCCTTCTTAAGGAAGGAAAACCATCTGTGCAGCAACCCACCAATCAGGCCTGTATGGTAGATTGGCCGCCTGGAATTTGCCACAAGGCATCTGAAGGACTCTCAGACCATAAGAAACAAAATTCTCTGGTCTGATGAGACTTAAATTGGAACTTTTTGGAATGAATCCCAGGCGTTACATTTGAAGAAAACCAGGTACCACTCTTCACCAGGCTAATACCATCCCTACAGTTAAGCATGGTGGTGGCAGCATCATGCTGTGGGGATGTTTTTCAGCAGCAGGAACTGGAAGACCAGTCAGGATAGAGGGAAAGATGAATGCAGCAACGTACAGACACATCCTGAATGAAAACCTGCTTCAGAGTGCTCTTGACCTCAGACTGGGGCGACAGTTCATCTTCCAGCAGGACAATGACCCAAAAGACACCGTCAAAATATCAATAGAGTGGCTTCACAACAACTCGGTGCATGTCCTTGAGTGGCCCAGCCAGAGCCCAGACCTAAATCCTGTTGAACATCTCTGGAGAGATCGAAAAATGGCTGTACACCTTCGCTTCCCATTCAGCCTGATAGAGCTTGAGAGGTACTGCAAAGAGGAATGGGCAAAAATGGCCAAGACAGGTGTGCCAAGCTTTGAGTAAATAAATGAATTTAATCCATTTTGGAATAAGGCTCTAACATAAACAAATGTGGAAAAAATGAAGCGCTACGAATACTTTCCAGGTGCATTCAACACTACAGCCATATTTAGTTTATTCAGTTCACTTATAGCGCATGTCTTTGGACCGCAGAGGCATGCTAAGACAAAGACAAACTCTGAGGAATATTTCCAGTATCTTGTTGAACCTATGCCACGAAGGACTAAGGCAGTTCTGAAGATAAAAGGGGGTCCAAGCCTATACTACTAAGCTGTACCTAATAAAGTGGCCAGTGAGTGTATAATCATGCTCACACTATAATGTACAGTTTGTTCTATTAACAAACCATTAATTAAGACTTTTTCTCAATAAATACTAATTAGTTGCTTATTAATAGTTAGTGAAGTAGTTGTGTTTAGATATTGGGTGCAATTAAGGGTGTAGAATAAGATCATACTTTATAAATACTAATAAACATTTAATATCTTAATAATTAATCAAGTATTTAATAGTGTGATTAATAGTGTGAATTTCCACATGAACGTGGAAGTGTTACCATAATAATAATAATAATGATGATAATAATAATAATAATAATAACAATAATAATAATAACTAGAGCCCCAGGGGTACAACTTATACACCCTTACGGGGTATGTTCTCACTTAGGCTGCAACCCCCTACAGATGATATGAATCCCAAATTTCTATGAATTTTACACTCGGCGCTATAATCTGTCAAAGTTGGGCGTAATGTTGAGTCAATGCATTTTTTTCACCCCTTACAAAAGTCATAGCACACCATTGCCGATAAAGCCGCACGATTTGAGCCCACTTTCAAGGGTCTGGGACGAAAGCTGCGGGACTAGTTACGCGCCGAAAAAGTGTACGGAAGAAGAAGAAGAAGAAGAAAAGTATAATAAGCAAAAAGAGTATAGTAAGAATGGACTTTGCCTATGGCAAACCCCATTAATAATAATAATAATTATAATAATAATATTAATAATAATAATAATAACACAGCAGCATTCCCACAGTCCAAACATATGCGTTACAGCTGAATTGAATAAGATAAATTGGCCGTAGTGTATGTATGTGAATGTAAGAGTGTATGGGTGTTTCCCAATGTTGGGTTGCAGCTAAAAGGGCATCCGCTGCCTTAAACGTATGTTGGATAAGTTGGCGGTTCATTCCACTGTGGCGACACCTGATGAATAAAGGGACTAAGCCTAAGGAAAATGAATGAATGAACACAGCGGTATATATAAGAAAACAGTGATGCAGAATTACAGCAAAGGTCATTGGGTCATTGGGTTGTTCAATGAAACGTCACACCCTGAATAGTTAAAAAAAGATGTAGTTTAAAGATCTGTCAGCTGTAGTGGACATCACAGGGTTAAATCGCTTATCAGCAGATTTGATGTTTCCACCTTGTCCATCAAGCACTTTGGATTATTTTCACACACTGATATGGACTAATCCACTCTAATCCATACGAGAGCCCATGTACTTATCATTAAAGAGGGATGGAGAGACACTAGACTTATTGAAGCGACTGATTACAGAACCTTAGCTGTACTCCTTTCAAGCAAGTTCTCTTTATTCAGTGGAACTGTCAGAAACACAATGATAGTTCATTTGGAATAATATGACATTTTAACAGAGCAACACAGTGGGTCAGTGTTTAGCACTGTCGCCTCAAAGCAAGAAGGTCACTGGTTCGAGTCCTGGCTGAGTCAGTTGGCATTTCTGAGTTTGCATGCTCTCCCCATGTTGAGTTTCCTCCGGGTGCTCGATTTCCCCCAAAGTCCAAACATATGAGATATAGGTGAATTGGCCATAGTGTATGTGTGTGAATGAGTGTGTATGGATGTTTCTCACTACTGGGTTGCAGCTGGAAGGGCATCCGCTGTGTAAAACATTCTGGATAAGTTGGCGGTTCATTCCACTGTGGCGACCCCTGATGAAAGAAGGGACTAAGTCGAAGGAAAATGAATGAATATACTAAGTTAAATAGTATATATCGTCACACAGAGTACAATATTCATAAAGAGCTACAAAGCTGCCTGAAATATTTCACGAAAATTCCAAATGACCTCCATCAGTAAACACAGAATAATGACTGTGATTACAGTAGTAAATGATCACGCCTGCCATGTTTGTTTGTTCAGTTTACGGGGGTTTATCGCAGGGAAAGTAAGAACGGAAGGGAACAGATAAATGCATAATTTTTCCATCAACTCAGAAAATGCAATAACGAGGAAAAATGCAGAAGGAGAAAATAGAAATATGATAAAGAAATGGAGTATCTATGAGCACCTCACCATCTTCCTGCATCAACCAAAACACCTTTAACAAGAAAGACATTCATTCTTCTGTAGTTAAGTATATGCTAAATTCATAATGCCGGAGTGGTGAATGCCAATCATTTTTAGGTAATTATTTTTGACACCTGATGGAGCTTGAGTTTTGGTTTGGTGTGCTTAGATGGAGGCTAAAAGAAATTGATTTAAGTTTAAGACTGCAAGTCTGGCTCTGGCTCTTAGTCTGGAGTAAACATAAAGCTAAACAAATAAGACATAAAATGTAATAAAATAAAATAAATAAAATGAAATAAAATAAAATGAATTAATGAATACATACGTAAATAAAAAAATTAAATAAATACATATGTAAATAAGTAAATAAACAAATAAATAAAATAAAATACAATAAAACTAATGAATACATACGCAAATGAATACAAAAATAAATAAATAAATAAAATAATAAAACAAATAAATAAATAAAAAACAAATAAAACATTTAAAACAAAATAAAATAAAGCAAAATGAATGAATGAATAAATAAATAAATAAATAAATAAATAAACAAACAAACAAACAAACAAACAAACAAACAAACAAACAAACATTCTAGTAGAAATATCATGCTTTGATCAAAATTAATGCCCTGGATAAAAAAAGTGATTATAAGTTAATAAAAAAATACTTTTGAACATTAAATTTAAAAAAAATAAAATCCATTTTGGAAGTATAAAAATATACAGTGCAACAATATATACATCATTTTATAAGTATTAAAATATATACACATTAAGAATCAATTCATGTAATAAAATAAAATAAAATAAAATAAAATAAATTGATAATAATAATAAAAAAATGTATTTAAAAAAAAATAGTAAACATTGTAGTAGAAATATCACGTTTTGATAAAAATATCTGTTATTTTAAATAGCATTAAACAAGAATAAATGAATGAATACATAAATACATAAATAAATAAATAAATAAATAAATAAATAAATAAATAAACAAATAAATAAATAAACAAACATTCTAGTAAAATATAATTTTTTGTTAAATATCAATGCCATGGATATAAAACCTATACATTATACGTTAATAAAAATACTTTTCAACATTAAAATAAAAAAAATAAACTCCATTTTAGAAGTATAAAATATAGAAGTATAACAATATATAAAATATTTTATAAGTATAAAAACAGATACAAATTAATAATCAATACATGTAATAAAATAACATAAAATAAATTAAAATAAAATAAATGAAGGAATACATAATAAATAAATAATTAAATAAGTAAATAAAAAGTAAACATTCTAGTAGAAATATCATGTTTTGATAAAATTTGTGTCATGGATATAAAAGCTCAAAATTATAAGTTAATAAAAATACTTTTGAACATTAAAATAAAAAAAAATAATAATGTTGGAAGTATAAAATAGAAGTATAACAATATATAAAATATTTTATGAGTATAAAAATAAAAACAAATTAATAATCAATGCATAAAATAAAATAAAGTAAATTAAAATAAGGGCAAAGCAGTGGCGCAGTAGGTAGTGCTGTCGCCTCACAGCAAGAAGGTCAGTGGTTCGAGCCTTGGCTCAGTTGCCGTTTCTGTGTGGAGTTTACATGTTCTCCCTGCATTTGCGTGGGTTTCTTCCGGGTGCTCCAGTTTACCCCACAGTCCAAAGACATGCAGTACAGGTGAATTGGGTCAGCTAAATTGTCCGTAGTGTATAAGTGTGTGTGTGAATGTGTGTGGATGCTTTCCAGAGATGGGTTGCAGCTGAAAGGGCGTCCGCTGCATAAAAACTTGCTGGATAAGTTGGCGGATCATTCTGCTGTGGTAACCCCGGCTCAATAAAAGGGACTAAGCAGACAAGAAAATAAGATAAAATAAAATAAAATGAAAATGAATGAATGAATGTAAGCGTTTGAACTCGCACAGGCGCATAACTAACATGCTTTGCACTGGACTTTAGATCTGCATTTAGATGGTCAAGGACGCTGTCTATTTCAGTTCTTCAAAATAGCAACATGCCAACAATGCACCTTAACACACCTCTGTTTAAGACAAGCACATCCATGAGTCCACAAAGTGGCACAAATAGATTTACTAATTAAACAAAAGGGTTGAAAACAAGAAACAAGGGTTGCGCTGGTCTGAAAATAGCAACAAATCAGGCAAAACACGTCTTGCACCTTATTGCACTGGATGTATGATAGGGCCCAAAATCTCTCTTTACCTTAGTGAACATGGGTTTTCCGTGCTGCGTGACCATCGTGCACTGATCGCAGTCCACAGTAATGCAGGAGTTGTGGAAAGACTCTTTGGAGTGTTTCAGGATGTAGTAAAGATCCGTAACGCCACCCTCAAATACTGTGCTGAAGTAACGAGGGATAAGGGTTCGGCCGATTGCTGAGGAAGAAAACAAGATGACATTTTGTTAAAAATAATCAAAATAATTAGTCATATAAAAACACTAGCAAGGTATCAACTACAACATCCAAGCAATTTTATATATAGAAAAAGTTATGTTTTATTGACAATCATACGCAGAACCTACACAGAAAAAATGACAATGATAGTAACTTAGAGCAATTTAAATTATATTATAAATACACTGAACAAAATGATACATTGGATTTACACAATTCTTTTAAGGTACAGTTAAAGTCAGAATTATTAGCCCACCTTTGAATTTTATTTTCTTTATTAAATATTTCCCAAATGATGTTTAACAGAGCAAGGAAATGTTCACAGTGTGTCTGATAATATTTTTTCTTCTAGAGAAAGTCTTATTTGTTTTATTTCGGCTAGAATATAAGCAGTTTTTAATTTTTAAACACCATTTTAAGGACAATAATATTAACCCCTTTAAGCTGTATTTATTTTCGATAGTCTACAGAACAAACCATCATTATACAATAACTTGTCTAATTACCCTAACCTAATTAACCCAGTTAAGCCTTTAAAAGTCACTTTAAGCTGTACAGAAGTGTCTTGAAAAATATCTAGTCAAATATTATTTACTGTCATCATAGCAAAGATAAAATAAATCAGTTATTAGAAATTAGTTGTTAAAACTATTATGTTTAAAAATGTTTTGAAAAAATCTACTCTCTGTTAAACTGAAATTGGGGGAAAAAATAAACAGGGGCGCGAATATTTCAGGGCGGCTAATAATTCTGACTTTAACTGTAAGTGGTTGCAAACAATTTATTTGGGCTGGATATTATCAAACAAATTAAGTTCAACATTAATACATTTCATTTGTTTGTTCAAATTCAGGGGAGGCCTTTAAAGAGGCCATGCTAATTTTTTATCTTAAACATTATTCTGCTTATTGAGTGTACTAGAATCGGTAAACAGGCTTTAATGTTTTTTTTTTAATTATTTTTAAAGGTGCCTTATAATGAAAATCTGGGTATACCAAGGTATAGCAGAATAATAAAAGATCACTATATGGAAACGGGAATACTGTAAGCCTCAGACACTACGGTTTTCTCGTTCTCATGTAAATTCCACAAGCGTGAAACCCCGGTGGACAACAGGCCAATCAGATACAGAAACAAACTGTGACGAGACTTACAGGCCATGCCCTCCTCATTTGCATGTAGGCCTACTTTAGGTCATTCATCCAGACCTGATGAGCAGCCACGTCATCAAGAGATGACAACTAATATGCAGCTCTAAGACTATAAAAAATCTCTGAAATCAATAATATGCTTGCCTCAATGTGCATTTGATTAGCCAAACGTTTTTTAGTTAAACAACATTGATAACTTTGCTTCCTTAGGTACATTTACATTTAGTCATTTAGCAGACGCTTTTATCCAAAGCAACTTACAAATGAGGACAAGAAGGTATGTATAAGTGTAAGAAGCAAAACATTAGTATTTTTTATTTAATTTTTTTTTTTTTGTAATATAGTTAGTGGTAGAACCAGAGAGGCAATTGCAGATTAGGAAGGGAAGTGGAGACTTAACCATGTCAACTATACAGACAACTGCGATAACTATGACGACAACTGTTACTATGACAACTATCCAGACAACTACAAATTTTATTATGACAATTTTAACAATGTCAACTATACAGACAACTGCGATAACTATGACGACAATTGTTACTATGACAACTATACAGACAACTACAAATTTTATTATGACAATTTTAACAATGTCAACTATACAGACAACTGCGATAAGTATGACGACAACTGTTACTATGACAACTATACAGACAACTACAAATTTTATTATGACAATTTTAACAATGTCAACTATACAGACAACTGCGATAACTATGACGACAACTGTTACTATGACAACTATACAGACAACTACAAATTTTATTATGACAATTTTAACAAAGTCAACTATACAGACAACTGCGATAACTATGACGACAATTGTTACTATGACAACTATACAGACAACTACAAATTTTATTATGACAATTTTAACAGTCAACTATACAGACAACTGCGATAACTATGACGACAACTGTTACTATGACAACTATACAGACAACTACAAATTTTATTATGACAATTTTAACAATGTCAACTATACAGACAACTGCGATAACTATGACAACAACTATAACTAAATCAACTGTTATATACAGAAATCTACAATAACTACAGTATGACTGATTTAGACCATTAAAAATCATTCAACCACACAAACGTTCAGTTTAATGAATACACACGACACAAATTTGCATATTGGTATGTTTTGAATTTAATTATTTTAAGTATATATTTCACTATGCATGTGGGACTTTTATTTTGAAAACGTGGGCCCCAAATTGTTTACTGGGCAACGACAGCAGGAGACATGTTTATTTAAAAAAGTTAAATAAAATTACTGAGGAGAGATTCGAACTCGGGTAGGTGGTGTTGTGATGCAAAGTGTTGACCACTGGACCAGAATGGCGCTGTCATGCAGATGCGTTTGGAATAAAAAATAAGTATTGCTTAGTTATCTGCAAGACTCTTTTAACCACAGTATTACTTTCTATTGATGGCTTAATCTTTTTCTCCCCTTTTTAAATTTCTGATCAAGTTCCGTCAGACTTATTAATTTAGTGAATCATCTGCTTTTCACTGAGCAGGTGTAATATTCATGAATATGAATTATTTGAATTCTTATTTTCACTAAGGTGCCACTGTTTGAGTTTGAATGATAGTTACATCATCATTAACCTGCAGGCTGCATTTTGCTCACGGGGCTGCGAGACAATACATAAAAAGAGCGGAGCTGCGGCAAAAAAATGAATAAAAAGAGTAAGGCTATGGTCAAATAAATAAATAAATAAATAAAAAGTCTGACTGCTGAGAGTGCAAGCAGCTAGGGACACTGGCCCTCGCGGCCAAAAAATGGACCGGCCCACCCGATTAGCCAATCCGGGCCTGGCACCCATTAACTTCCATAGTATCCAAAGGAAATCAATGGGCGCCATCAACCAGCATTTTTCACAATATCTTCATGTTCAACAGAGTGAAGAATCTCACATAACGAAAAGTAAATCATGAAGTAATGTTAATTTTTAGGTGGTGAGCTATCCCTTTAATTTGTTTAGTCTCTGGCTGTCTATGTTTGGAGATACAGAATGAACTAGAAACAAACTAAATATTCTTGTTTTCCCTCTCCTAGTGTGACCGTGCATTCAAAGCGAGACAGTAAGACTGTTGTTTTGTTAACAATTGCTGAAGATTAGCCTAACTGATATGAAGTATGATAATTTGTTTTTGCAAACAGTGTTTACAGTAACCTGCCCGAGGTCTTACGAAAAGTAGAGCTGGAATACTTAATCTTCCCTGCAGCTGAAGATAATTATGCAACGCTTTTTGTTTGTTGCTGTTTAACAATGAGCAGACAAAGATAGAGCCCTGTCTGGATGTGTGGCCTCAGGTCGATCTGCATTGTTATGTTTTGTTTTTTTTGTTTTGTTCTCAGCTTATATTTGCTTCATTACAAACAATTCCAAAAGGGACACAATGATTTATCACTAATTTTGTAACTTTTGTTCAAATAAAATTAATTGGGAGGCAAAACTCTGTAGGATGCTGAATATGAAGTGAGTGAAATTAGTATTGAACATGGCATGTTTGTTTATTTCCTGGGAATATTATTTCTAAAGTAGCTGTTGACATGGAATTGAACCAGATTTGGGTAAAAACCTAAACAATACGAACATAAAAATATAACAAAACAAAAACAGAATCAGAAAAATGAGTTATCTGTATTAAAAATAAAATTACACAAAAGGAGGGTGCTGAACTAAAGGCTTTTTTGGTGATGGCAGCTTAAAGATGTCTCTCATATGGAGAATGAAGTCACATGCATTGCTCACAACAGAGTGTGAAAACCTTGATGGTTCTGTGGATCTCGTCTATCAAATCTGATCTTTACTTTGTATTTTATAAAGGATTCAGATCAGGTGATTGGCTGGGCCATTCCACAGCATGATTTTCTTTCTTTGAAAGCATTTGAGAGTCTCCTTGTCTGTGTTTTGGATCATTGTCTTGCTGAAATGTCCATATTAATTATCCGTAATGTAGATGTTGGACTGAAGCAGCTAATATTTATTTACACTGAGGAAGGGCAGAGGGTTTCTGAATAACTACAAAGAGATTTCAGCTTCTGTCTGGGTTTTCCCTGCCTCCCTACACCTCCCTTTCTTTATGTGTTTAATAAATTTTCCCTGTGTCATTTCATTTTATTGCACATAACTTCTTTTGTAAACTAACTAGTCTTGTTTTCTTTGCATATATTTATTTATGTATCCATTTATTTTAGTAATTTATTTGTTTATTTAAATTTTTTTTTATTTATGTATGTATCCATTTATTTTATTTGTTTGCTCGTTCGTTTGTTTAATCATTCATTTTATTTATTTATTTATATATTTATTTATGTATTTACTTATGTATTTATTTATTTGTTTGTTTATTTATGTATCCATTCATTTTATTCGTTCATTCATTCGTTCATTCTATTTATTCATTCATTCATTTTATTTATTTATTTATTTATTTATTTATTTGTTTGTTTATGCATCATTCATTTTATTTATTTATTTAGTTGTTACCAACATCAGAGGAAAATTTCAGTCAAAAGCACCTTTAAAAATATATTTTCTGAGAAGAATGGTGACGTGTTTAATACTCATTTCCTCCAATGTATTTTGAATATACCCTACACTGTAAATAAATGCTGAGTTCCACACTATCAAGCTGAGTTGGAACAACATAAAGGAATTAAGTTGACTTATTAGTTTTTACAAATTTAAGTGGACTGAACATTAAACAGTTAAGTTGTGCCCCCAAAAATCTCAAGAATTGTGTTGGTTCAGCTCATTTTACAGTAAATAAGCAGTTTGAACAAACAGCAAAGATCATTTTTGAG